AAAACTTTCAGTACTTTTTATCAGACTTTGCTCCGACATTAGTCGGATAAGACATTATGACTATTTTTATTTATCAGTTTAAAAATTTTAACGGTTTCAGAAAAACCAAATATTTCACGGTAGCATCCCGAATCAGTTTCGCAAAATAAGTATTTTATTCAGAAAATTTGCGAAAATCGCGTACTCTGATATAGTAATAAGTCGGGGTGTTACACACGTCATGGAAATTTATATGGGATGATAGTGATCTCATCAAAATATCACAGTGCAAGGACCGTATATAAATAATAAAGCTAACAATTTGAACATTTGTAAATTTGCATACCTATGCACATCTAGTATAAAAGAAATGCTAATTTATATATGCATGATAGAAAGACCTCATTTGTTGTTTGATGATGTCGTTTGATCGACTCGGTTGCCTGTTTGCAGAAGTAAAAGTTGATCAGCATGTCTTGGGAACAAAAATTGATCGGCATGTCGTTCTTGCACGGGAAAATATTATATCTTTGCACATATCATCCTTTTTCGGTGTGATCGAATGCGACGATCAAGAATCAATAAAAACTACATGTGAGGCTCTTGCCATGTGATGATGTTGTGCGAAAATCCCAAGAAGCATCTATGCGCAGATCAGGTGTAGATATGTCGATCGACTTGATCACCGTTGATAATGTGGGCGACTTGTGGCCTCTACTGATGTTGATGGGTTATCTCAAACCTAGGTTGTGGTTTACTTTGTAGTTCCTTTCCTAGCATGTCCTTCACTCTTGCAGCACTTATACAGTGTGTCGATCGAGCAGCGAAGTGACCATGATCAAGACTCTGTCAATGATCGCCCAATAGTTACAAAATCAATCGCAGGATTGTAGGTTTATGGGCTTGAGGGGAGGATCTTGTCAGATTTCATGAAGACATCTTTGTCTGATCTTTCCTTGGGCCCCCATCTTCAAGAGAGCTGAGATTACTCGATGACCAATGGACCATCCACCCTCACGTTCTTGTCGAGGGTGGACCAGTCGATCCATATTGTTGTCGAAGGTGGGCTAATATGAGGGTTTTCCAAAAAGCGTAGATCTAGGCTTTTCGATGGGGAGAAGGGACAGAAGGCAAATATTTGGAAATTTTGAGGGAAATGTCAAGAAGATAACAAGGAAATTAGAAGCGAATGGGTCAGTTGAGTCACCCATTCATCAAACCAATGATATAAATGAGAGAGTCGGTTGTGCTGCCATTCAACATAATTCAAGTTCCAAGACTAGATTTCAACATATCTAGCAATAGGATTGTCAACATAATCCAAACTAATAAAAATATTCCACATGGTTCCACAGTTCAACCAATCCCGAAAGCAATAGGGATGAATAACAAAGTCTGATAATCTCAACATAAATAGATGAGAATATCGTCAATAAAGACAATAACCAACTGATCGAGGTATGGATGAAAGATTTGGTTCATGAGATCCATAAAGACTGCTGGCGCATTGCTGAGACCGAAAGGCATGACCACAAACTCGTAATGGCCGTAACGAGTCCTGAAAGCGGTCTTAGCGATGTCTGACTCCTTAATCTTCAGCTGGTGGTAGCCTGATCGTATATCAATCTTCGAAAATACACAGGCTCCCCTCAACTGATCAAATAAGTCGTCGATCCTGGGAAGCGGGTACTTATTCTTGATCGTCAACCGGTTGAGATCCCGGTAGTCGATACACATACGCATAGATCTGTCCTTCTTTTTGACAAAGAGAACGGGTGCTCCCCATGGTGACACACTCGGTCTGATAAAACCGAGTCGTAATAGCTCCTGAATCTGAGTCTTAAGCTCCTGTAACTCTTTAGGCGCCATGCGATATGGGACTTTGGATACTGGACCGGCCCCTGGGATAAGATCGATAGAAAACTCCACCTGACGATTGGGCGGTCCTCCTGGAAGCTCGTCTGGGAATACGTCCACAAACTCGCGAACAATAGGAACATCATGAGGTGTCCGCACTTTCTGAGAATCCTCAACAAGGCTTACCAGGTAACCCTGCCAGTTGCCTCGTCGCAATAACTTAGTGGCTTTCGCCATCGAAACAACATGAGGCAGTGAACGATTTCTGGAGCCGAAGAAAGTAATCGACTCGTCTCCCGGAAGATAGAGAGTGATCTCCCGGTCATGACATCTGATATCTGCATGATAAAAAGATAGCCAATCCATCCCGAGAATAAGATCGAAATCCTTCATCTCGAGAACAAACGCGTCGGCAGTCAATACTCGGCCACCGATGGAAAGGCTAAGATCTGAAGCTTTAGCTAAAGTTACTATCTTTCGTCCCGAGGCTAAACTCACCTCGAGAGGATCGACAGCGGTAACAGCATGAACTCCGATGGCGTCGAGACACCGTCGCGAAATAAAGGTATGTGTTGCTCCAGTATCGAATAACGCAAACACAGGAATATCATTGAGAACAACCATCCCGGACATTGTACCTGGTTGCTGTGCGGCCTCGACCTGATCCACCGCGTAAACCCTGGCCTGCTGCCTGCCCCTCTGCTGCTGCTGCTGCTGAGGCAGTCTCTGTGCCTGCTGTTGTGGCTGCTTCTGCTGTGGTGGCTGCTGAGGCTGCTGCTGAAGTTTCTTCGGGCAACGACTCGCAAAGTGTCCCGGCTCCTGGCAAAAGTAACAGATGTCCTGTCCAGCACGACACTCTCTCCTGTGAAGTCGACCACAAGTCGGGCATGGTGGAATCTGTCTCTGTCGGGTCCTCCGGTCGGTCTGTGCACCCTTTCCCTTTCTCTTCTTCTCCTTTGCTGGCTGAGGGGCTGGTAGAGCTGGTGGAACTGCAACTGGCTGAGCTGGGGCGGATGGCTGGGCACGATCACGAACGGCCTCCCTCCTGATACTCGCATCCACCTCCTGAGCGATATAAACGGCACGAGCGTATGTCTGAGTCCCGTGTCCCACAATGTTATGACGAACTGCT